ATATGAGGATGAACATGAGTTTTTTGGCCTTCTGAGCTTGACTAACTTCACTTAAGATGAAATGTTCTCCAGGTTCCAACCATTTACCTGGTGAATGAACCAAAATGTCATTTTCTTTGTGGAATTCAGTGCAATTCCATTGTGCCCATAGGTACCACATTTTTCTTAATTCCTTTGTCAGAAGTCAGGTTATGTTGGCTGGTTGCATAGTTTGGCTACTGTGAATAGTTAACTAGCAATAAACATGGAATGTGCAGGTGCCTTTGTAGTAACCTGATTCACATTCCCTTCGATTATATCTAGAGTGGTATTGGCAGATTGAATGGCAGATCTATTTTTAAGGTTATTTTAGGAGCCTCTGCATTGTTTCCATTAGTGGTTTAATTTAGCTTAACATTCCCACCAGCAGTTTATGTGGGTTGCCTTTTTCTTTCCCCGCATTGTTTGCCAAACTTATTTGTTGTTTGGTTCTTGATTGGGTAGCTATTTAACAGGAAAGTGAGGTGAATTCTTTAGTTGTGGTTTTGATTTGTTTCCCTTTATGGCCAGGGACAGTGGTCAATTTTTTATGTGTCTTTTAGCCATTTTGGACTTTTTCCTTTAAAATGTTCTGTTCAGTTTCACGTTCCCCATTTCCTTTTATTGGGTTATTGATTTTTTGGGAGTTTGGCATTTTTGAAGCCTTTGTATATTCTGGTATACGTCCTTATCTTAGGTATAGGTAGCAAAGATTTTCTCCCATTTCTGCAGGTGGACTCTTTCACTTTAGAGAACCATTTCTTTTGTTTGTGCAGAAGCCTTTTTAAATTTCATGTAGTCCATTTTTCGCATCCTTTCTCTTAGTTTCTAAAGCCATTGAGATCTACTGAGGAAGTCTTGACTATGCCTATTTTTTCACATTTTATTTCTTTTCATGTTACTAAAGCATTCAAAGGTTTCAGGTCTGATATTAAGGTCCTTAATCCATTTTGAGTTGATACTTGTGCAGGATGACAGGCATGGACGCTTAATTTATGTGTTCTTTCAGGAATAATCAGTTTTACCAGAACTTTGTTTGAAAGAGGCTTTGGTTTTCTCCACTGTTAATGTTTGGCACCTTTGTCAAACATTAGGTTGGGTGTAGCTGATGATTCTCTTGGGTCCTCTATTCTGTTCACTGGTCTTCATATCTGTTTTTTGTGGCCAGAACAGTGTTTGTTTTTATTTGCCTATTGGCTCTGTATTATAAGTTTATAGTTGGCTTATTTGTGATACTTGGCAAATTGCTCTTTTTGTCAGTAATGTGCCTTGGTGTTTCATGCATCTTTCATGTTTCCAAATGAATTTAGGGTAGATTTTTCAAATTTTCTTTGTGAGATGTCAATTGGGATTTTGATAGGAATTGTGTTGAAATGTAGACTGCTTTTAGGAAGTTATGGCCTTTTACTACGCAGGGCCGTTGCTCATTCTACCATCTGTGAGTATGGGAGATTTGTCCAATTTCTGTTAGTCTTCTTTCGACATCTTTACTTTCAAGGGGCTTTATAGAGGTCAATTTAATTCCTTTGTTAAGTTTATTCCTCGATGTTTTGATTTTTGAGGCTGTTATTAAATGGATTTTTTCCCCTAATTATTCTTTCTCAATTTGGTTCATTGTTTTGGTGTGTAAGAAAGGCTATTATTTTTGTAAGTTGATTTTTGTATCCTGTCACTTTGCTGAAGCTGTTTTTATGGTGTCTAGGAGTTTGGGGGTGGTTTTTTTTTTTTTTTAGCATTTTAAGATGTAAGATCATGTCATCTGCCAAGAGGGATAGTTTTTGAACTACTTCCTTTACATATTTGTATTCCTTTTATTTTTCTTCTTTCTTATTGTCTTGCTGGGAAATTCAAGACTATGTTGAATGGGAGTGGGGAGATGGCACTTGTCTAGTTCTTGACTTTAGGGGAAATGGTTTCAAGTTTTTCCCTCATTTAAGTATGATATTGGCTTTAAGTTTGTCAATAGACTTTATTTGTTGAGGACTTTCCTTCTATTTCTATGTTTCATCAAAGCTTTTATCATAAAGTGGTGTTGAAAATCTTATGAATGGCTTTTTCTTCTGTTTGAGATTGATCAAGTTGGTTTTGTCTTTGCTTCTGTTAATGTGCTGTATTACATTTAATTGATTAATGTGCTGTATTACATTTATTTATTTGTTATTAGAACCATCCCCATATCCTTTGATGAAGCTGACTTGGTTGTAGTGTATGATCTTTCCTATATGTTGTTGAATTTGGTTTGCCATTATTTTTGAGGATTATTGTATCAATGTTCATTAAGAAGGTTGGCATACGATTCTCCTTTTTGGATGTATTTTGGGTTGAGTGTAATACTGGCTTCATAAAATGAGTTAGGCAGTATTCCTTCCTTTTCAATTTCATGGAAAAAGTTTAAGGAGTGTTGGTGTTAGTTCTTCTTTATAGGTCTGGTAGAATTCAGGGGAGAATCCTTTAGGTCCTGGACTTTTCTTTTTTGAGATATCTTTTTGCTGCCTCAATTTCATTATGTGTTATAGATTGTTTAGGTGATTAATATCCTCTTGGTTCAGTTTTGGATGGGTCATATGTGTATCTAAATTTGTCCCTTTCTTCTAGATGTTCCAATTTATTTTATTATAGGTTCTCAAAGTAGTCACTGATGATTCTCTAGATTTCCTTTTTTGATTTTGCTTTTACTAATTTGGGTCTTTTCTCTCCTAATTTTAGTTAGATTTGCCAGGGGTTTGTCAATCTTGTTTACTTTTTCAAAGAATTGGCTTTTCGTTTCATTAGTTCTTTTTTTTTGTGATGATGTTGTGTGTGTGACTGACATGTTGTTAGCTAGGTTGATGTGCTATTTCTGGCATGTTGGATTCTGCAGGTTTACATTGGCTTTTGAAAATGGCTGGCAAGGAGAAATGGTGTGCTGCTTTTCTCAAGGAAGACACTTCTTGGGATGGGGTTAAGCATAGTGGGACATAGGGAGACTTTCCACTGGTTGGGAGCTCAGGATGTCACAAAGTTTGATTCTGGTTGATGCTCTGTCCTCTGATTATGGAAATAAAAAAAAAGAGAGAAGTGGCTAGGGGGGCTTTTTTCCCAGGGTAGACACGCCCTGTTGGCTGTGTGCACTGGGATTTTTCTGGCTGTTAGGTGCAACTAAGGGCTATTTGAAGGGTCAGTCCTTGAATTTTATGTGCATCTTATGTGTTGGGGTTTTTTATTTTTGGTTAGAAGCAATCGAAATTGTCCATGTAGCTCCCACATCTCAAGATGGTTTCAGGATTCCCAGAGCTCAGGAATCTGATTCTCTACCCTAACTACCATGTTCCTTTCAGGCCAAAAAACAGCTTCCTAAAATGACAGTTTTTATAGTTATGTAAGTAGTACAGTCAACACTGTTAAGGTAGCATTTGGGTATTTCTCTCATGATAACATTCTCAGTTTTTTAGGGCAAAATAAGCCTCTATGAAATATGTTTATAGAAAGGTATTTTGGAAAGGTGTATCATAGTAGTAATAGTGATTTCTTTTTCCTGAGAAGTAGTATTAGGAGATAAAAAAAGAATGTTTATGTTGTTCTGCATTAATTTTGTATAACTGGAATAATTTTTAAGCAAAGATTATGTTGTAAAATTAGAAAGAAAATATTATTTTCTTAATGTAGACTCTACTACCTTTTATTTTCACACTGAGGTTATTTTTTAAATTAAAAATTAAAACTGAACTTATACTTTTTTGTTATTGTTTTGTTTTGGTTTTGGCTGACACCCAGCCACACACTCTGAATATAGCTTTCTCTTAAGTGATAGGAGAACAGGACAGTTTTAGTCTAAATGTCAGCCCCAAACCACTATGCTAAGAAGAATTATTTTCCATAAGAAAAATACATGTAAACATTGCTTACCATCAATTAATTGCCTTTTCTTAGGGACAGTGTAAATGCTACACTTTTATTTCTATATTATAAAATTCTGCCTGAGTCTTGAAGATCTACTTTTAGTAACATGTCACTTAACCAAAAAGATTATCTTCAAAATTATTTGCCTTTCTTCCCTTTATTTACAATATAAGGATCAATGTATCCATAAGTCTTAGGTGTTCTAAAAAATATAAATATTATCAGAATACTCCGGCTGATAGGATAAATTTATTTTTAAATTATGTGTTAATAATATTTTCAGTGGCTATGCTCAATATGTTTTTTCAACTCTTCTGGGTTTCATTGTACCTTTTATGTTAATTGTTGGTCTATTGCTTGAAACTTAGAAGTAGTACACTTATAGTAGCAAACTAATATCATTTCATTTGTAAATATATCTTAACATTCTCCTTAAAATAAGTTTGTTTTTGCAAATGTTTTGTTCACCTCATTTTTTTCAAAATGATTACTTTCTGAAGACACTTTTCTCCTAGACCCTGGCATGTTCCATAAGAACTTGAATGGCTGCTGGGCCTGTGTGTGTTTCTTGGTGCACAGGAACACTCTCATACCCATCTGTGGCATGAACTTTCCCTGATATATTGTTATTTGAAGAGATTGTTCAATTTTCTTTGCTTTTCATGACTCGGTATTATTAAGTATTTTTATTTAATGTGATTGCAATTTGGAATCTTTTTCAGGTGCAATGAGGGACATGTTGGGAGACGCTTTGAATGTAGCACAGATGAGATTAACAGTGAAGACATGGATACTTACTGCAGGAAAGAAAACAGTTCAGAAATCTGTAGTAGTAATGGAGAGTGTTCACCAGCCCAGCAACTAAGAGAAAGGATGGACAAATGGGACTACACGAAATTAAAAAACTACTGCACCCACAGAGATGGAGAAAATACTTGCTAAATATACATCAGACAAAGGACTGATAAGCAGAAAATACAGAGAGCTCAAAAAACTAAACTCCCCCAAATCAATGAACCAATAAAGAAGTGGGCAACCGAAGTAAACAAAGTTTTCTAAGGAAGAAATCCAAATGGCTAAAAAAACACATGAAAAAATGCTCACCATCCTTGCCCTAATGGAAATGCAAATCAAAACCTTACTAAGATTCCACTTCACCCCTGTTAGACCAGCTGTCATCAAAAACACCACCAACAACAAATGTTGGTAAGGATGTGGGAAAAAAGGAACCTTCTTACACTGCTGGTAGGGATGTAAGCCAGTACAAGCACTATGGAAAACATTATGGAGACTCTTTAAAAAAGTAAACATAGATCTACCATATGCTCCAGCAATACCGTTCCTAGGGATATACCCAAAGGAAATGCAACTCAAGTTATTATAAAAACACCTGCATACCCATGTTTATTGCAGCAGCATTTACAATAGCCAAGCTATGGAAACAGCCAAGATGCCCCACACCAACGAATGGATCAAGAAAATGTGGTGTTTATATATAATGGAATTTTATTCAGCCACAAAGAAGAGTGAAATTTTATCATTCGCAAGTAAATGGATGGAACTGGAGAACATCATCTTAAGCAAAGTTAGCCAGGCTCAGCAGGCCAAAAATTGCACGTTCTCCCCCATATGTGGATTATAGATCCAAAGCAAATGCAGTAATGTTATTGAACATGGGTCACAGACTAAGGGGAGAACATGCATGGGAGAAATTTGGAAGGGAAAGGAAACCTAAAACTTGAATGAGATTGTTGTACTCCTTGTTGAGGAGTGAATAAAGTAATCTTAAATTAGCAGAGGCCACTATAGGAAGGGGATGAAATAGTGAAGAGGTCTGGTAGAAATGAACCAATGTGGATTGCCATACACAATTGCATGAAAGCAATGCTAGGAATTTCTCTGTATAGCTATCTTTATGCCAAACTAGCAAAAATGCTATGTCTTTCTTATCATCTCTTATGTTTTGTCTTCAACAAAATCAGAGAAGAAGAGGGTAGAACAGGTTCTGCCAGGAAGTGGGGGAGATTGAGGGTTAGCTGATTGAGGGGTTGGGGGGAGGGGGCACAAACAATGTATACACATGTAAGTAAATGTAAAAATGATAAAATTAAAGAAGAAAGAAAAAATGGAGAGTATATCTGTGGACAGTGTAGGAAGAGAGATAATACAAATGCAAGTGTGATAATTTCAACTGTGATAGATCCAATGACTTTATTTGTAGAGGTGAGAAAAACATCAGAAGTGGTCATAGAATATGATTCCTGATAGTTTGTTACAACCTCTTAAGAGTATTCATTGTACCAGTAGTAAAGGCACAGCATTTGTGGTCAGTCCATCATTTGATAAACTTTTTTGTTTGTTGTTGCTTTGTTTTACTTTTTTTTTTGTGGACTGTGTTTTGAACTCAGGGCCTACAGCCTGAGCCACTCCACCAGTCCTTTTTTGCGATTTTTTTTTCTGATATAGGGTCTTGTGAACAATTTGCCTGGGCTGGACTTGAACTTCAATCCTCTTGACCTCTGCCTCCTGAGTAGCTAGGATTATAGGTGTAAGCTACCCTCGCCCAGCTGCTTGTTTTTACTTTTAAATCAATGCTGTGACTTTATATTTTTATCATTATTTTGAGAAATGATATTTTTTTCTGCAATAAATGGTATTTGCAGGAGTTGTGTGTGTGAGTGCTACCCCAACTACCCTGGCAGTGTGTGTGACTGCTGTTTGGATACTACTCCATGCATGGCAGCAAATGGACAGATCTGCAATGGCTGGGGCATCTGTGAGTGTAACAGCTGTAAGTGTACAGACCCGAAGTTTCAAGGGCAAGCTTGTGAGACGTGTCAGTCTTGCCTTGGTGTCTGTATTGAACATAAGTAAGTTTCTTCTAATTGCTTGAAATAGTATTTACTGTATGCTAACCTAAGTATGTATTACAGTCATCACTAGAACCAGCACACATGCTAACGTATTGCACTATAAATAAAATAATTTGCCCCCCCCAAAAGCCCACTTGTTAGTTCTCAAAAATTCTTACTTATTAAGTAGTGAATGTCACCCAAGACTTGTACTGTTACTTTGATCCAAAATTGGGAATTGCTATATAATTAAATTTATGTGGTTATCTTTGTCAGCTTGACATATCTTTTTTTTTGTTTTTGTTTTGGAAGAGGGAGCTAGGAATTAAACCCAGCACCTTGTGGTCTACTACTGAGGAGTAATCCCAGCCCAAGTACTATCTTTTGACTCAATAAAATTGAAGGTTTTTCCCCTTGAATTTCAATTATACCAGTAATACACTGTTTACATTATGATTTGCCTACATATTTAATGTTATAGGAGTAGTTTTATTACCTCTATTGCTTTATTGAGATTTTAATTGGAACTTCAGTAAAATAATACAATTCTGTTTAGGGAACTAGTGGTTTTTTTCTATCAAAAAATTTACTTGTTAAACATACCCAAATTCTGGAATTGTCTAGCAAAATTTATCAGGTTATTTATAATTCTTATAAAGTTGCATTGCTGAAATTGGTTCACTGAAACATTTGGCTCTTGTTAATGCTTTATGCCTTTGCTTTCATTTTAAAATTCACACATAATTGAAAGAGAGACAACTGCCAATACCTGATTTCTGTCCCCTTATGTCCTCTCCCAGTCACATACTTTTGTTCTTTCTCATCTCATTGGAGAAAAGGATCTGAGGTTCAGAATTACCAATAGCTGAAAGAGGTTCCATTTTTCTTGAGAATGAAATGCTTCTCATCATACTAGACTCTTAAGCCTGTTCTCCACATTCCCCATGTGCTACCTGGCTATCTTTAGACTGCATGGATAGCACCTGGGTTGGTGTCTTTAAAAAGAAATGCTCACTAGCCTCCTGCAAAGTAGCAGTAGTTGTGCTCTGGAAGTGCAGGTATGTTTTGAAATCCTGTGCAGTTTCTCACATCAGACTCTGGAGAAATGTTTGTGAATAAGAAATTTAGTGGATTTGTGATAAGGTCTAATTCCAGGAGCTGGACAGTAGCAACCTGTGAGAAGAGGCTCCTTCACTGTCCAGTAGAGGGCGCACTCTTGTGGGAGCCTTGGAAGACAGTTGCCTCTTGGGCTCTTTACACAAGGGTTACTACTTGTTGGAGTCATGGAGCAGAGAGCTCCAGACCCACACCTTTTCCTTTGGTTGAGGCTCCACCAGCCACCTTGGCACTGGTGTTAGTGAAGGCCATGTGGCCACGATCACTGAAAACTAGAATTTCTTGAAGTACACTTCCCATCCAAAATTATACTATGCCTCTTTTTTTTCAAATTCTTGTTCAAATTGAGGTGTTGGCTTAATATGTCATGGTCTTAGCACACAATACTCTTTAAGCAAAACTGATTTTAAGAATACATTTTAAACATACCAATTTTGTTTCAACAGAGAATGTGTTCAGTGCAGAGCCTTCAATAAAGGAGAAAAGAAAGACACGTGTGCACAGGAGTGTTCACATTTCAACCTGACCAAGGTAGAAAGTCGGGACAAGTTACCCCAGCCTGTCCAGGTTGATCCCATGACCCACTGTAAGGAGAAGGATGTTGATGACTGCTGGTTCTACTTCACCTACTCAGTGAATGGGAAAAGTGAAGCTATTGTTCATGTTGTAGAGACTCCAGGTAAAAGTCTGATAATGTCACCAATTCTTTTCATTTTCTTTTATGCCTCATTTCTACCATTCAGGCCTATGGTCAGGTTCCCTGATACCCATCAACAAATTCCAACTCTTACTATTTTAGGTTCAAGTTGAGAAATATTTCCTCTCCCAAAGCTTAAAATGCTATTTAACTAAGAAATAAGGAAAAGAGAAATTAAGTTTTGAGGTTTTTTCTTTTACTTTTTGTTTAGACAGACAAAACTCAGAGCCTCACTTTTGCTAGTCAGCACTCTACCATTTGAGCCCTTTTTGCTTTGGTTATTTTGGAGGTAGGTTCTCACTTTTCACTTATTCAGGCCTGGACCACAATTCTCCTGTGCTTCTTGCCATTGCTGGGATGACAGGTGAATGCCAACACAGTAGCTATTTTTCTGTTGAGATGGGGTTTTACCAATTTGTTTTTTGCCTGGGCTGACCTGGAACTGCGATCCTCCCAATCTTGATCTCCCATGTAGCTTGGGATGACAGGTACACACCACTGTGTCCAGCTATTGATTAAGATGGGGACTTATACATTTATTGCTGGGCTGGCCTCGAATCATGATCCTCCTGATCTCAGTCTCCCAAGTAGTTAAGATTGCAGGTGCGAGCCACTGGTACCTGGCTAATTGGAGCATTTTAAGGTTAAATGCAATAAACTGTTCAAGGCACTTAAAACCTTGCCTGACATTTAGTTAGGAGGTAGTCCTAACTTAATGATATTTAACTTTGAACTTGGCTTGCCTTGAATGTGGGGAAAGATAATTTGTTAAACATACTGTTAAGTGTTGAATTTGTTTGACTTCTTAGGGATGAAATATTTTGTAATCTTGGTTTACTAGTAGCTTTTTGTAGATTCTTTGGGATTTTCTACATTCATGTACAGATTTTGTGTGAACATATTTTGGAGAATACAGTAGGCATATGTTTATAGAAAACTGCAAAAGTTTAAAAAGCCTCTGTAATGTTTTGCATTGTTAGATAGGTGTATGGAAATATTGCCATGCCTCCATATCTCTTCATTTTCTTAGTGTCTTTTGAACATCAAAAATTTTATTTTTTTTCTGGTGCTAAGTTTCAAATCTAGGTTCTTGGGCATGCTAGTCAAGCACTCTACCACTGAAATGTGCCATCAGTCCTGGAAGTTTTTGTATTGATTAAGTACAGTTTACCAAGGTATTCTTTTGTGAATCTTGATTATACTATTCCAATTAAGAACTCTCTTACCTAATCCTGGTTGTGAAATGTTTTTTGTTTTTCCTGTGTTTTATACTTTCTGGTTCTACATTTAGACCTGTAACCTATCTGAGTTTATCTATTAATGTGGAGTGAGGTTCAGGTTTTTTTTTTTTGCATATGGCTGACTAATACAATAGTTCTAGCACTAGTTGTTGAAGACTGTCCTTTTTCTACCTGGGTTGAAAATCAGGTGACCTTTTTCTCACTCTATGATCTACTCCTTTAATCTGTGTCTGTCCTTTAGCCATTCACACAGTCATAGCTTTTTGAGTAGTCTTTTTTTTTCCACTTAATTTCTTAATGATAAATTATAAATTGTACATATTAATGGAGTAATGTAATGTTTTGATACATGTATACATTTTGTAATATTTAAATCATGTTAAGCTTAGCTACTCACACATTTATCATTTCTTTATAGTGAAAACTTTCAGTATACTTTTCCAAAGGTTTTATTTAGCTTTGAGGGGATGGGAATTGAACCTAGGGCTTCAGTTTTTGTTTTGTGTTTTTTGTGATACTGGGATTTGAACTTGGAGCCCTGTGCTTTCTCTAGACAGGTGCTCTATCTCTTGAGCCCAGCTCTTTTTTTGCTTTTGTGTTTGGATAGCATCTAATGTTTTTCTCAACACCAGCCTGAGACTGCACTCTTCCTACCTATGCCTCCAGGTAGCTGGGACTATAGGCACACAGCACCATGTCCAGCTTGTAAGTTTAGATGGGTGTTGCTAACTTTTTGCCCAGATTGGCCTTGAACCATGATCCTCCCAGTCTCTACCTCTCATGTAGTTGAGCTCACAGGCATACACAATCATAACAAGCTGAACCCAGGGCATTGAATATGGTAGCCAAGTGCTTTGCCACTGAGCTGCATCCCTAAGTCTTCTTAAAGCTTTTCGAATGATACAATTCATTATAGTTACCTTTAGTTGCCCTACTATGCAATAACACACAGGCTTCCCCTTACCTCACTGTAACTTAGTTGATCAACCATTGCTCATCACCTTTTCTCCTTTATTGCCCTCCCCACCCTTACCTTCTGGTAACCATTATTCTACTTCAACTTCTGTAATAGCAACTTTTATATATTCTGCTTGAATGAGAACATGTGGTACTTGTCTTTCTGTGCCTGGCTTATTTCACCTAACAGTGAACACTAGTTCCATCCATATTGTTGCAAATGCCAGGATTTTATTCTTTTTGCCTGCCTAGTGTAATGTGTATTTGTATCACATTGTCTACCTATTCATCATTTCCTGGATACTTAGGTTGCTTCCATTTCTCATCTGTTGTGAAGAGTCAGATGTCTCTTTAACAAGCCAGTTTCCTTTCCTTTGGATGTACATTAAGAACATCTTATTCACAAGTTTGTTACATGAGGTTTTGACAAAGTGTGGTAAAAAATACATAAAAATCAGAATAAATTTTAAAAACAAACAATTTAAATTCTTCCTGCATTACACAAGCACTGTTGATATAAAGACGCTCTCAGTCTGTACTGTGTTATTGTCAGCTGTGTTTAAAATTTGTGATCTGCTGAGTGTTTCCTTGCTCTGAATTTTGTGAAAATACATTTCACACAAAGCAGATAATGCCCAAAAAAGCAATCTAAAAGTTTTTGCTTTAAATTTAAGTGATAAAATAATTTTAGGTTTGTGGAAAGCAGCATGTCTTTAGTGGAAGTTGGGAGGCTGTATAGGAAAAATGACTCAAGCATCTGCAGTACAGCACTGAACTCTGTGCAGATATCAATTGTCTACTCTCCACACAAGGATGGGATTGCTGGATCATATGGTAGTTGTGTTTTTAATTTTCTGAGAAACATGTTTTCCATAATAGCCATACTAATTTACTTTATCTCCAATAGCATGCAAGGGTTCCCTTTTATCCACACCATTGCTAACACTTGTTATCTTTTGTGTTTTTGGTATTAGACATTTTGACTATTGTGATTTTGATTTTCATTTCCCTGATGGTAATTGATGTTAAGCATTTTTTCATGTATACATTGACCATGTAGATGTCTTCTTTTGAGAAATATCTATTTAGGATTTTTGCCCATTTTCAAATTGGTTGCTTTTATTTTGTTCTTTCCTGTTGAGTGTTTTCAGTTATTTATATATTCTAGATATTAGTCCGTGGTGAATATAGGATGGGTTTTGTCCCATCCCATAGACTGTCTCTTAACTCTGGAGATTGTTTCCTTTGCTGTGCAGAAGCATTTAAAAGTGCTCCTATTTGTCTAATTTTACTTTTATTTTTCCTGTGCTTTTGTGTTTTCCTATTCCTGTGTCCTAAAGCATGCCACCTATGTTTTCTTTCATTTATGCTTTGATTCATTTTGAGTTAATTTTTATATCTGGTGAGAGGTATCTAATTCCATTCTTCTGCATGTTGATATACCCTGCTTTCCCAGCACTGTTTATTGAAAAGACTGTTCTTTCTCCAGCGTGTGTTCTTACCACCTTTCTTAAAAGCTCTCTTGGCTGTAGCTGTGAGGATTTATTTCTAGGCTCTGCATTCTATTCTATTAATCTGTCTGTTTCAATGCCAGTAATCATCTGTTTATCTGCAAAAGTTCAGCCAGGATTTTGATTGAGTTTATTGATCAAACTGACGGGAGCTGACATTTTGATAGTATTGTCCTCTAATTCTGAACATGGGATATTTCTCCACTTTTTAAGATCTTTTTAAATTTCCTTTAATATTGTTAAGTTATTTTTAATGGAAAACCTTGTAGATATTTGGTAATGGTATACATAAGGTTTTGGTGATTTTGTTTGTTTGATTTTTAAACTTGCAATCTAGAAATAAATGTATGAATGTGTTGGGAAATGCCTGATTTTTGTTGATCATGTATCTTACAACCTTTGTAAACTCACTTGTTAGGTCTATTAACATTTTAATAGTTTCTTTGGGGTAGTGTGCATTGACTTGTTTTAAGTCTTAAATACTGTTTATTTTATAAGACTTTGTGGTTGTGTTGTTGGAATTTGTGCCTATTAGACCCTTTTATACTTATTATTAATCTTCCTGTTTTCTAGACTGCCCCACTGGTCCAGACATCATTCCAATTGTGGCTGGTATGGTTGCTAGAATCGTGCTTATTGGCCTGCATTATTGCTGATTTGGAGGCTTTTAATGATAGTTCTTGACAGATGGGAATTTGCTAAATTTGAAAAAGAGAAAATGAAAGCCAAGTGGGATACGGTAAACTTCAAAATATCTAAGAAGTAAGGCAGCTCATGTAACTCTTGTTTATTAATGATAATGCTGATTACTGATCATTAAATTCTGCTTTAAACATTTTATTTCCCCCAATATTAATTATTCATAGATTTGCATTTAGTGCAAAACAAAAAACATACCAAGTATATCTATTGAAATAAAACATTATAAGAATATATGCTCTGTTGATGGTGGCCATTGTTCTTAGTTCTCTAATAAGGTTTTATCCTAATTGTAGTGTTCTGTCCTTTTGTCTATCATAAAATAGAATTTTAAATAACAATCCCATCTCTCTCTATTTCTCTCTTTGCATTTATTTGGCCTTCTAGAAAAATCACAAGTATAGGAGTAAGAATCAGAACAGTGGCTGCTAGGGCCAGAGTGGGACTACAAGGGTTCTTCTTAGGATGATCTGGGTTGTGGGTATGTTGATGCATTTGAAAACTCATGAAACTCTTATGGTATGTTTTATTTTATACAAATTATACATCAATACATATTGCCATATAAAAACAATACACAAGCTGAAATATGTAACTGAAATATGATGCTAGCATTTAATGCTTTGGGTACAGAATCTGGTGGGGCAGTTAAACGTTTCACCCTCCTATATTCATCTTTTGATACAAGAATGTGATTTTTCAGTA